CATATTACCCACTTCAACAGCGTTGCCAGCAGCATTTTGCCTGTGTGTTACTCTCCTTGATGTAAATTTTTGTCTTTCAGCATGCCTTGTTGTATCAAGATAGTAAAATTCATTTGTGGCAACACTCTCAACATAAGATGGATTATACTCAAGCAAATTCTTAATATTTACTACATGATTAGCATAGTTGCAACTGTAAACATCTCTACCATTTGCTAGGATAGATAACTTTTCTATGAGAGAACTACTTCCATTTACTATACCCATTTGATCTCCATCTGCATCTATATCAGCTCCAGCAGCCAGCTGATTAACTTTGAAATCTGCTGAAAATCGCGCGTTATACCAATCAAAAGGAGTAGCCTCACCTGTGTTATCAGCAACAAATCTATGACCTGTTTTAGTTTGATGAGCACCATTTCCAGGTGCGGCTAAAGCTTGTTCAAGGTCAAAAACAACATCTTCATATCTTTCTAAATATTTTGAATTTCTAAAAGACTTCATTTTATTTTAATAATTATATAATTTTCTCTTACGTGTTGAACCTCCACTAAGAATGGCATTCACTCTTTTATTTATCTCTTGTTGAGTCATTGTTTTGTTTGGAATTGTTTCAACATTTTTATTAAAAGTAACTTTTTTAGCAGAGGGTGCAGCCTTTTCTTTTGATAACATTTGCACTATCTTATCACCAGCCTTTTTGCCTACATGTTCACCAGTTTTTGTTGCAGCTGCTGTTACCGCTTTTTGGGCACCCCTTTTAGCAGCTTTTTTCATTGTCGTTCCAAACATTTTTTTTACCAACCGATTTAAACACATCCATCATTCCTTCTCCATAAATATGTTGTCTTGTAAATTTACCCAATTCAGGGTCAAGTCTCATTTTAAACTCTGATTGTCTCATCATTTTATTTTAATAGTTATATTACTTCGAGTGAAGTATCAAAGTCATAAACCAATCTTTCAGTTGATCAACAGGAGCCAAGTGTTTAATGGCTTTCTTTTAGCCTGCGTAGCAAGCGTTTCCAATCGAGTTATTGCGCAACCCCTCCCCCATCTAAAATCTCCTCTCCCCTAGCCCCTTGGAAGGCCTGATACTCAGGCTAGATTTCCTCTTTATCACTTTCTCTTGGTCATTTTTTAACAGGTCAGTCTAAAAAAACTCTCAAGGAAAGCTTTCACGCAATTGGATAAAAAGGCTGGATTTAATCTACTCCAGGCGGCTGAATATGACATTGTTTTAAAAGCTCAAGGACTTCCAAGTTATAAAAGTATCAAAAGACTTTATAATGAGTGTGCTAAGGACAACAGTAGACAGATTAAGCTGCAGTGGGCTACATGTAATGATGATGCGGAACAAGCTGTTGAGCTTGTATTAAATGACGGTGTAGATATTAATGCCCGAGCGTCAGATAATGATTACACAGTTTTGATGCAGGCGAGTCGTTCATCCTCAAGTCAGTTCATCGAGACCCTCATTGATCTTGGAGCTGACATAAGTATCCAAAAAAAAAAAGAGTAAAGAAACACCATTAAAATTAGCGGCTGTTTAGAACAACTATATGGCAGTGTGCTTGCTAGTAAGGCACGGAGCTTATGTAGATGTTCAGGACAGTTATGGATTCACACCACCACACATTTCAGTCAGAAGAGGTCGCGAAAATCTTATCAAATTACTACTTGCAAACAAAGTAGATGTAAATATTCAAGATGCAGATGGATGTACACCCTTGTACTGGTGTGTCAGAAGGGGTAACGAAAACATCTGTAGATTGTTACTTGAACACAACGCGGATGTAAATATTCAAGATAATGATGGATATACACCCTTGCACCGGTGTGCCATATGGGGTACGGTAACGAAAACATCTGTAGGTTGTTACTTGAACACAACGCGGATGTAAATATTCAAGATAATGATGGAGATACACCCTTGCACCGGTGTGCCATATGGGGTAACGAAAACATCTGTAGGTTGTTACTTGAACACAACGCGGATGTTAATATTCAAGCTAAAGATGGATGTACACCCTTGCACTGGTGTGCCAGAGAGGGTAACGAAAACCTCTGTAGATTGTTACTTGAACACAACGCGGATGTAAATATTCAAGCTAAAGATGGATGTAAACCCTTGCACTGGTGTGCCAGAGAGGGTAACGAAAACATCTGTAGGTTGTTACTTGAACACAACGCGGATGTAAATATTCAAGATAATGATGGAGATACACCCTTGCACCGGTGTGCCATATGGGGTAACGAAAACCTCTGTAGATTGTTACTTGAACTTAACGCCGATGTAAATATTCAAGACAATAATGGAGATACACCCTTGCACTGGTGTGCCAGAGAGGGTAACGAAAACCTCTGTAGATTGTTACTTGAACACAACGCGGATGTAAATATTCAAGCTAAAGATGGATGTACACCCTTGCACTGGTGTGCCTTTAAGGGTAACGAAAACCTCTGTAGATTGTTACTTGAACACAACGCGGATGTAAATATTCAAGCTAAAGATGGATGTACACCCTTGCACTGGTGTGCCTTTAAGGGTAACGAAAACCTCTGTAGATTGTTACTTGAACACAACGCGGATGTAAATATTCAAGCTAAAGATGGATGTACACCCTTGCACTGGTGTGCCTTTAAGGGTAACGAAAACCTCTGTAGATTGTTACTTGAACACAACGCGGATGTAAATATTCAAGCTAAAGATGGATGTACACCCTTGCACTGGTGTGCCTTTAAGGGTAACGAAAACCTCTGTAGATTGTTACTTGAACACAACGCGGATGTAAATATTCAAGCTAAAGATGGATGTACACCCTTGCACTGGTGTGCCTTTAAGGGTAACGAAAACCTCTGTAGATTGTTACTTGAACACAACGCGGATGTAAATATTCAAGATAAAGATGGATGTACACCCTTGCACTGGTGTGCCTTTAAGGGTAACGAAAACATCTGTAGATTGTTACTTGAACACAACGCGGATGTAAATATTCAAGATAATGATGGAGATACACCCTTGCACTGGTGTGCCAGAGAGGGTAACGAAAACCTCTGTAGGTTGTTACTTGAACACAACGCGGATGTAAATATTCAAGATAAAGATGGATGTACACCCTTGCACTGGTATGCCTTTAAGGGTAACGAAAACATCTGTAGATTGTTACTCGAACACAACGCAGATGTAAATATTCAAGATAAAGATGGCTCTACCCCGCTGCACCTGTCAGCTCGTAGAAACAGAGATTGCAGTAAGATAATCGATCTCCTGGTGAAGTATGGGGTACAAAACATAAACATCCACGATGCAGAAGGTTTGACTCCTCTTCAATTGGCCGTGAGACATGGTAACTCGCAAGCTGTGAAGAAGCTTGTTGACCTTGGAGCTGATGTTAGTGTGGTTACAGCTGATGAAAAGGATGCCAGAAGACTGGAAATCTTGAAGAATAAAGCGGAGAGGAAAAAGCAACATGTTAAGTTTGAAATGAGCTTTAGGCAAAAAACTAACGAAAGGGAAAATGAACTTGGTGTCAGTTCTGTTCCAAGTACAGGAAAGCTCACAGAGGCTTATCTCAAATCAAAGAAAACACTGAGGCAATCTTCTTCGTATACAACAAAGGAAATAGAGGACGAACCAGAAGCTTAACAACCGTCGACAGTGGCAAGAGGGAACCCCAAGTAAAAGGCGACTTCATCCTCAAGAACCAATAAATGTTTAGTGTCTAATTTAGCTTTTTTGCTTTCAAAGTGAAAAAGGGCCAGTTTTTTCTAGCCTGAATTTCAGACGAAACTTGGAGTCGTTTTTACTCCCTCAGTAACGTCGTTGTTGAGAGGAGAATACGCTAAGCTGTTTCATCAGTTAAAGAGAAGATTGTGCTCTTATTAAGCTAAGGTTAACCTAGTTTGTACAAAATTGATGACAAACATAGCGAGAGTAACTATAATCCTCACCTATTTTACTATCATTTTATACTTACAACATTCTCCCGCACGCGCCCGCTACTCTTTTACCCACTTATTCTATCAGTGGAGGGGAACTCATGTATTCCGAAAACCGGGAAAGCCACAATGATTCATATTATGGCGCGCAGTTTGTTTCAAAATTAATTTTTTAAATTAGTTATAAATTTTTAATATTTGTCTGTTCTGAATCATGTATATAAGCGCTTAAAATCAGAAAGAAGGACTCCTTGATCTTTCCATTTTTGCTTTTTCGTCATCATTATTAAGAACACTCTCTTAAAGGTTTACTATGAACTCCAATCAATCAGTTTTGCGTATCGGATTTACCGACCAGTTATCGATCAATTAAAATATTATTACATTGTGCTAATTTTCTACCAGATACGTAAAATCGATCAGCCAGCATATCATCAATCGGTAATCTTTCGTCTAAAATCGATCATATATCCGTAATCAACCACGGAAAGCTGTCTCAAATTTCGATCAGTTTTGTTGATAATCGATCAGTTTATTATCGATCAGTTGTCGGGTACTATACTATTGATCAGCATAAACTCGGCTTGCACAATCTACCAGTTATGCGTATTTTCATTCAGTTGTGACTAAAGTTGATCAGTTGTTGTATGAGCGATCAGTTGAGCATATTTTCACTCAGTTGTGATTAAAATCGATCAGTTGTGCGTATTTTCATTGAGTTGTGACTAAAATCGATCAGTTGTTATGTGATCGATCAGCTGTGCGTATTTTCATTGAGCTGTGACTAAAATCGATCAGTTGTTTTATGATCGATCAGTAGTGCGTATTTTCATTCAGTCGTCACTAAAATCGATCAGTTGTTATATGATCGATCGGTTGTGCGTATTTTCGTTCAGTTGTGACTAAAATCGATTAGTTGTTACATGATCGATCAGTTGTGCGTATTTTTATGTAGCCGGGGTCGATTATTCAATGGGTTGAGATATTGCCATGAAAACTTTCTGCAATATTTTCACCCATTTACATGATGCGTGATGGTTTTAAAAAAGTCAGCGTCATGTGTGATAGATACCCCCCTTTTGCCACCCTGATCAATCGCATTCCGTTATTTCCACTCCGAATGAAAATAGGAAAAAAAACCGACACAGATACAAGCGGCATTTTCGATAAATATAACTGGGGCAGCAAAAGCGCATTACTTCTATCACGAATTCTTTTTTTTGGAACCGAAAAACAAGAAACCTACTTCTCAGCTCAGCATATACACGTGGTCATAGACGTGACAATCTGGTCAGTTACCAGAGTGTGACAACTAAGACCTAAGACCCGTCTTAGTTTTCAGATTACGAAAACTAAGACCCCCTTAAATCAAATCCGTCGAAATATGAAGTCAAATTGTAATCGAAATAGGTCTAATCTGTCAAATTATCTTCTGTTCGTTCTTTTCCACCGAGTTTTAGGTCGAATTTAACGGTAAATATAGGGGACTTAGGTTTCGTAATGTCGAAGTTTTCGCAGGAGCCGATTACTCGGGTCCTGGTTTTCGTTATTACGAAAACTAAGACCCCCTTAAAAACCAATCCGTAATATATATATATGTGTCGAATTACGACCGTTCAAAGTCTATAAGCCGTAAAACAACCAAAATCTATCATCCGCGTGCTGACGATCCGCGTCTTCTAAAACTTTGCAGACATGTCAGTACGGTACAGTACAGTACAGTACAGTACAGTAAAGTATTTGCAGACATGTCAGTACAGACATGTCAGCCATTTCAGAGAGGGGAAACTGTGCTTCGTCTGAACACAGTTTTGCGGGCAGTCAGCGGTAACTCGCGTGAGGGCGCGAGTTTTCAATTAAACAAACAAACATGGCGGCGAAAACAGCAATGGTACACAGAAGACGATTTCCCAAAATCTACACATTAAAATCTTGTGATATTTGGCAAAATTTTGACTTTTATCGTATTTTAAATAATGAGAACTTTAAAATGGAAGTTGAACAGAAGAATTTTGTGATACATTTGATAATTACAATACAATTATATTATTGATTATCTGAAAACCCGTCTGTTAAAATTCTGGTCAAATAAAATTCAAATGTTAATGGTTAATATTATTATAGTAAGCTGTGCGCAAGTTTGTAGGAAAATCTAATGAGCGAATTTTATGTAAACTGAGCAAGAGTGAAATTTTAAGGTTGTATTCTATCGTTCATGTTGCCATGGAAACAACGAAAACGTCACATTTTACATGTCGATCAACATCTTTTATCACTGTATTTTTCACTTGCCAACTTTCAGCTTGTGCGCTGCAACCTTTCTCTTGCCACGATTTGACAAATGACATATACTCACAAACTGCCAAAACTGTGTTCAACCACCTTAAAAGTGAATTTGCGCTGCCTAAGACTTATCGAGCTTATTCCATCACGTTTAATTCGTCAAATGTTGGCAAATTTTTTTGGAGTTGAATTCTAAAGGACTGCATTAACGTTGAGGAAAAGAAAAGGAGAGTTGTTGTCCGTTTGTTCCCGCCCTCGACAAAACGAGAAATTAGGCAGTTTCACGTTGTAGTCGTGCAACGACGGCAGAGAAATGTACAAAAAAGCTTGATGCACGTGCAAAGTTGTTGTTTTGCTTGTCTAAATCTATTGCTTTTTTGCTGTACTCGTTGCCATCGCCGTCGTGGTTGTGTAAACTCACTAATATCCACACCCAGCCACCTCCACCTCGGTGAATAATTGTTAAATATACACTTGGAGAGTTTGTCAGACACGAGTTCACAAATCTTTGATTGGAAACCTTGCCAGACACTCTTTCTGTCTCTTTGACTGGAATAAGACTCAGTCCCAAACAAGGAAGATGAGTAAAGTGAACGGCTAGCTTATCACTAGCAGAACGATTGACGATTACAGAAATTCGCCGACAATCAAATTCTGTGCTGACTTATTCCCTGCTCACAGATGTCCTTCCGCTATAAAGTTTAAAATAAGACTAGAATGCGCGAGCGTGAAGTTATCAAACGTCCTTTTAATTTCTAAGCCGGGGGCTTACTTTCCGGCAAATAAAATGAACTTTAAATCTTTTCTGATGGTTTAGAATAAGCTATTCTCGAAACCGAGAATGTTTTTATCAAAGCTGTGTAAATCGAACTGAAACTGTGTTTGGAACCTTGCATTCCCTGTTTTTATCTCACCTATTGTATGGAATATGTGTGAATGAAATCTTCATAATGCATCGGTATATTTCAAAGAGCTATACAACGACCAAGAATACTATTGACCGAAAGTATTCAGATCGGGCGTAGCCTGTGCCAGGCTCTCAGATAGTATAGTGGAGACGTATTAAAACGCGCAAAGCGAAAATAAGACGCGCGCGACTTAGGTAAGGGGGCGGTCTCTTCCCAGCCCCCGCGCGTTTTACGCATTTCCTTTTACTGAACGACTTTTAACCACTATCTTGGAGCTTTATTAAAAACAGGCTAGAACGGGGACAGCTGTGGTGTCAACTATTACTACTTTTTAATCATGTTGGTGGAATTTGAAAAGGTATTAAACAGCCCCGCCTAAAAAATGGTACCCATTTTTCTTGTTACGAAAGTCTTCTGTTTAGGTTCGATTCATTACGACCAAGTACAATCCAGAGTATAACAAAAGGTGACATTAGATCTAAGTGTAACCCTAGTTAATGATTATAAAATCACACATATTGTAACATCTTCCAAAAGGGTAAAATGTTCAAATGAGTAACTGTTTTTAAAACTCTCACATGAGCTGTCACGGAATGGTCAGCGACAAGCCTGGTGGCCTAAGTCTGCAGCCATCCCCTTCCCCAGGAAAATTGGCAGCCCAGTTAAAATCGCCTTTTGGCGATTCTTTTTATAAGTGTTTGCAGATGTTTTACATATAGTTTTATTATGAGACTAAGAGGAAGTTTCAATAGTCGTTTTCACGAAGGTTTTACAATCCATATTAGGAAAACAAGAACTCTAGGTATTCGTTTGTTGACGACATCAGCCAGGCTCTATTTCCGCCGCTCTCTCGGTCCTCCCCTGGGGGAAAAGCAGCGCAGGCGAATTTCCCGAACAGCGGCTAGTAATCGAGCCGAGGTTTTGCACCGCATTTGCTTCCATTTCAAGTATCGATGCTCTTTGGTTCGCAGTCAACCGATTAAAGAACACTCAGAACCCAAATAGGGAGTGACACCGGGAGAAATCCTGTTTCGTATAGAAAGCCACGTTTTTGCAAGCGAAGCGTATGAATGCAAGTGAAGGTAAAATTCCCATGAATTGAAGCAATATGTTTCTCAGTCGGTGTGCTACATTTGTATTCAGCCAGGCTTTGTTGTATTTTATTTTTAATTGATCAAGTGGGGAGGAGCGTTGCGTGACGACACTAAAAACGGCTGTGTAGCAGACTAAATAAACTGCAACTGATGCAAATTATTTGAAATGTCATGCTTTACTCCCAGCACTTCACTTGCCACTGGAAACTGCTTGTAATATATGTCATGTGGCTAATGTTTAACAAAATGGCTGATGCTGAAAGATCAGCTGCAGTAATTCATACAGTTCCTGATGAGGTTCCCTCTGAGTGGAGTCACGCACGGACGAAACAGTAGTGTCCCTTTAGGACCGCTTTAGGTTTTCCAGCACCAAATCGTTTTTCAGGTACTCTCCCTGTACTGAAGTGCAGCGCCCTAGTCTTCTTGGGGGCTGCGGGGTACTGAAATAAGGCCGACTTTATGTGAAGTTGTTTAGAGTTTTGTTGTATGCTGTATACAAGAACGTCATTTCCTGAAATTTGTGTTGCCATTTCAGGTGACAGGCTAATTTTTGGTGTTTTTACTGTACTATTTGTGAAATGAAGCCAAATATTTTTGAGATTTTTAGAACGTTTTCAAGATATGTAGAAAAAAAAATTGGGAATTTCCAGAAACATATTTAGGCGATTTTAGGTGGTATATGTATCTAGGGCTACAAGATCTCTAACGTTCTCTATGCCAATAATCCCTCCGCAATGTTTTTATGTAGGCAGTTGTCGGACTAGCTCCCTCTTGCAGCTCTTGCAAGTGCTTTGCTTGTCTTTCCAGAATATATTTTTCACCATTCGCAGACTTCTCGTGTAAGTTCCATCTAGGCTCTTAGCTTTTCTTCTTTTTTGGATATGTTCTGTTCTGAGTAACGGACGCCTAGCCTGAGGAAGAGAAGCGAAGGGGCCGGGAACGATCTCGGACGTCTGAGATTCCACCCCCAAACATTTGTCATTTTTACAAAAAAGGCCCCACCTTGCGAGGACAACATAGAAGTTATATATTTGTGAACTAAGCTGAAAACTGATTGCAAGAAAATAAACTTAACCTCCCTTAATAAAAATAAACTGGAAAAAACCGACTTGAAAATTTTGCCGCTAGTCGGGAAAAACTTCGAGACTCCTGATTTGACGTTACGAAAGTGACTATAATTAGAGTCGAATGTTGTTTAAAGCAAAAATTGTGCTGACAGGACCAAAAAAGTCTTAATCAGCCCGCAACAACGGGATGGCTCAGTCGTCACACAACTTTTGAGACGTCACGCACGTTGCGTCACGACAAAATGATAGATGGTGTTTAAGAGGATACGAAGGTAAGTTGATCAAACTTAGCTGTTTGCTAAATTTAGTAAATCTAAGCTGCTGAGAAATTATTAGATTAATTGAGGACACTTTATAGCTCAGTTAGCGAAGATACTTACGATTTGTAAGGCTACTCACTTTCAAAAACGTTTCCTTGAATAAAAATTTAGTTCATTTCAAAGCGAGCGTAGTGTTAGACTCTTCAATTGCAAGAATCGCGCGGATCTACGTGAGCAGGTCATAGAAATGAGTGTCACTTGAAAGCGAACCTCAACCTAATAAATTACACTTATTTTGGACGTCTTTTTTGCCAAAGCCTCTCATTTTTCTTAACTCCGTATTTCAAATGGGGTAGCGTTCACCCTTTGATATGTTGTTTTTAATATTGTTTGGTGGAACTTGCAGAATTATCTTGCTCCACTGCAATTTCCGCTAAAGAACAAAAAATGGCTGCCAAGCAGGAGGCAAAGCTACAGAGGAAACTGTATCAAAGTACGCTGTTTTTTGTACCAAGTTCCTAAGATGTGCTATAGAGACCTTGAAAAATGTGAAAGCCAAGGGAAATGACCTTATTGAGGTCACAGATGCCTTGAAACTACGTAAGATGAAGCATGTGAACATCTTTAGTTGCTGTTTGGGAGTAAGGTCTTTTCTCAGTTCCTAATATAAGCTTAATGCTTACTGTTAAAATGGGACCAGCTTCAAAACCTTACTAATAATGAAAATGAGTTTTATTTATAACACACACACACTTAACACACATACATACTTTATTATTATTAATAATCTACATTTACATAAAGTCCATTTCCGCCCGCAAATAGCAGGTGCTAGTCGAAGCAAGCGGAGATAATAGGTACAGCAGTCAGTAATAAATTACCAACAAATGGATGAATAAATAAATGAATAAATAACTAGATATATATAAATGAAATAACGCTTAAACATAAATTAATAACATTTACAAAATCAACTACTTGAAACTCGAAAAATTAACTGCGACACTTAATTAAGATATGTATAATTATAAATTAAACTCTGTATTTGCTCGATAGTTAGCTATTTTTTGAAGCAGAATGGGCAAGTCATTCGTCCTCGGCCTCTAATAACGAAAATAACATGTCATTGATATGTTTTTTGAAAGCTCTCTTGGGGAGGTGATGAAGTTCACCGCATATTAAGTGCCAAAGCTTAGCTCCAAACCCAGCAGAAGAACCATGGTTTTGATTCAGTGTCGATCGGTTAATATAAAAATTGCAGGAGGAGGAGAACCTGGTCTTGTGATTATGCTTTTCATTGGCTTTAATGAAAAGGTTACCAATGTTAGTGAGAACAGTTAGACATGAGACATCAAGCATTATTGGGGAAACTGTTTCAACGTATAACATATTTAAAGAAAGGATTTTTTAGGAGGTAAATAAAGGCACCGCATGTGCTCTTGGTTCAGAAAAATACATCAACCAAGGGACACGTTTTTGTAGCACATGGATTTTTTGTAAATGGGATTTAGCAGCTTGACCCCAAGCAGCTAAGCCATAGGATAGGTACATGTAGGGTAGTATCAAAGAGCGATAAATACTTAATAGAGTGGTAAAAGGGACGAGGTGCCGAAGACGGGCAAAAAGTCCAATAATAATGTAGCACTAAAAATAAGTAGAATTATTTTACTTATTTTTAGTGCTACATTATCAATGTGGTATTTCCAGCTCAAATGACTATCCAGTAAGACACCTAGACATTTTACGTGATCCTTACACTCAAGGGAAGTGAGAATGTGATTACTGTTATCAAACATTAGAATATTGACCGAATGGTCCATCTTATGTTGGTGAGGACGAAAGATAACAAAGTTTGATTTTTTAGCATTTAATGTTAGCTTATTTGTGTTGAGCCAATCCGAGACTCTGACCAGTTCATTATTGACCATTGACCAAGAGATTTAAGATTTTTGTCGGCATACAACAAATTTGTGTCATCTGCAAAAAGGTAAAACGAAAATTTCAATGAAGAGTAAAACTTTACAACCTACTTATGGTCTGGGACTCCCAGGTACATGCAACACATTTTACAGTGGAAGGAAATAGCATTTTCAACGTGGTGTAAGTAGGGCACAACAAAGTGCTATCTGATAATCCAGAGCCAGTAAGGCTTAAATATGGGTCAAATATAAGTTGTCCGATAAGTAAACCATAAAAGTTAGTTGTAACTTGCAAATTGTTTTGTTCATATTTCAGTGGGGACACTCCTCAACAACACTTTATCACTCCGTAATGGAAACTACCTGAGGTTTATCCCTTCAGTAGATCAGCTTGCTAAAACACTTTACCTTATTGTTGGTCAGCTCGTTGCCAAGGCACAGTTTGAAAGGGCTCTGGATCATGCTTATGACCTATATAAATTCATCCAGCTTCTTAAGGCATGTAAGAGCTATGACAGTGAAAAGTTGGACAAGGAAATTGGATCACTTTGTTTACGTTCATATGATTTGTTACTTCAAGGAGCAGGGAAGCTTGAGGAAGCAAAAGTACCTCCAGGGGAAAGACCATCGCACTTGTGTGTTGTCTTAGACTGGAGAAAGCTCTCATTACTTTTTCAAGCAGAATCAGATGTGCATTCTTCACTAAAAACCTTAGTGGATAGAACTCTGAAATGTGGGACAAAAGTTCAAGTGGATTGTGGGCTCAAGAATGTTTATTTTAAAACCTTAGCAAGCTTCTTTGAAACCATTTTTAGTGCACTCATGAACAAGCAAGAACAACTGATTGCAAATGGACAAGAATTTACAGTACTCTTAGCTGAACTTGGATTTCATTATGGCAGAATTTGTAATAAGGCTAGAAACTCAACAGAAGCTTTGGCTGTGTTTGATAAACTGTTGAAAACTGCAGAAATTGAAAACCATTTCAAAAAATGTATTTTCTCGCGTTAAGGAATGCACGTTGCTT